GGGGGCAGTTCAATTTTTTTTGCAACCCTTCACAGGGATTTGCATTTTGCAACCCTTCACAGGGATTGGCGTGGTCGGGTGTTCGAACGCGAGGTAAAGTTGCATTTTTTGATTTGCATTGAAATGAATTTTGCAACCCTTCACAAGGATTGGCGTGGTGGAGTGTTCGAACGCGAGGTAAAGTTGCATTTTTTGATGAGCATTGAGATGAATTTTGCAACCCTTCACAAGGATTGGCGTGGTGGAGTGTTCGAACGCGAGGTAAAGTTGCAATTTTTGATGAGCATTGAGATGAATTTTGCAACCCTTCACAGGGATTGGCGTGGTCGAGTGTTCGAACGCGAGGTAAAGTTGCAATTTTTGATGTGCATTGAGATGAATTTTGCAACCCTTCACACAGATTGGCGTTGTCGAGTGTTCGAACGCGAGGTAAAATTATTACTTTTGATGTGCATTGAGGTGAAACTTGCAACCCTTCACAGAAATTGGCGTTGTCGAGTGTTCGAACTAGTACTAGTACTACTACTACCACTACCACTACTACAACTATTATTACTACTACTACTGCTACTACTACCACTACTACAAAAGAATACTACTACTACTACTACTACTGCTACTACTACTAGTACTACTACTACTACTACCACTACTACTACTACTACCACTACTACTGCTACTGCTACTTTGCTACTACTACTACTACTACTACTAGTACCACAACAACAACTACAACTACAACAACTACAACAACTACTACTACTACTACTACTACGACACGACTGCGACTACGCGACGACGACTACTACTACAACTACTACGACTACCACTACTATCACTACTACTAGTACTGGTACTGCTAGTACTACTACTACTACTACTGCTGCGACATAAAGTGACCATGCATAGAGTCATAGAGTCACGTTGAAACCACAGTAATCAGGGATGTCTATATAGTGAGGTTCCGGAGCTAGGAAAGGAAGACTTCTGCGTCATGTTGGACTATACCCTAAACCCGCTAAACCTGAACATTAGTGTTCATAGAGTGAACTACATCAAGTCAAGTGCGTGGTACATAGATGACTCCATGACTCTATGACTCTTTCTCACTCTGACGCTATGACTCTATAACACTATGACTCTATGATTCTGTCTCACTGTGACTCTATGACTCTATATGACTCTATGACTCTTTGAACTATGACTTGTGCTTGACATGTACTCGACTCTATTTCTCGATGACTCTATGAACTATGACTTGTACGACTCTTGACTGTATGTGACACTCCGACTCTGTGACTCCGTGCTTTTGACTCGGTGACTCTATGACCCTATACACTGGATTCTATGACGTAGCGTAACACTCTTCGCTGATGATGCTTTCGGGCCAATTGTCTTCTAGTGCATTTGGTCTACAGCGACTCAACCAGGACCGAAACGGGAGGGTAAAGCCCAAAGCTCAACTTCTCCTATAAAAGCAGTGTGGCCGACCCAAACCACGTCCCAATGACCAAATCGTAAATAGAAGTAGTGACGCTGTGGGTGTGAGCATCGAGCATGATTCATCGAGTCTTTAAGCCTGAGTCTGGCAACGTCAAGCATGCTTACATCATCTTCGTCATCAGTACCATCTTCAACATCCTGATCTTCGCCATTCTTCGCGTTCACTCTGCGTCATGTAGCTTAACCACCATCATAAGCACTGGCATCCATGGTCATCCATCTAGAAATTTCCCAGCACCGCCGCCACCACCACCACCACCACCACCACCACCACTAGGACGACGACCATAATGGACGACAGCGACTATTACCTCCCGGGAAATATTGAAGACATTCCACAAATATCACTTGCATCACATTTGTGACGACAAATGCGCCGACTTCATCTCAGAACTCGAAGAGGATAGTCGTACTTGCGTGTTCAGGCAGTGCTCAGCCAGAACATTGTCCCACAGACTGCATAGCCGCCCTACGCCCGGCATTGCTGTCGGGAGGCGTGCATCAGCCGGTATTTCCATCGTCGGCTCCCTGTGAGGTTAGGGCGCAGGCACTCTTTGGGGTTAGCTTCCACCACCTGGAGAGACAGTCTGCAGATCGACCCCCATATGCAAGAAGGGATATAGCTTCGCTCACAAGTATCGGGTGGAGTTGGGGTCCCACTGAGGTTACATCGGGAATAATTAGGTCTGGATGTGTCTGCGATATGTGGGGGAGCTGTATCGTTGAATGTACCTTCGTCGTATCTTTACTTCCTACGTGCGGATGTCCAAAGTCTAAACAAACAATGGACACTCCGGATTCAACGGCGCAACCACATGATTGGCGCATGCCGAGCAGAGTACTGGAACAGTCACCTGGAGGCATTACCTTCGAAACAGGTCAGCATGGAGAACCATGTGCCACCCATGCCAGCTAGGGTGCGGCGGAAGGACAACGGACTAGTGACTAGTCAAACCACAATACACCTCAAGACATGCAGCGAAGAAGTGCTACTTGCCTGATTCCTCGGTGTTCTGGAAAGATTGCAACTCAAACACTTGCAGCCCGTGTCGGTGGATCCCAAACCGAGAAAGCCATCCAGGGCACCTGCTCTGGAAGACAGTCCGTTTGTCAGCTGAGAGGTGCCTCGCCTTGCATGTGACTGAGACGGTTTGGACATGATGCGAGGCAGACTCTGTTTGTATAGAGCTCTGCTTGGTCTGTGATTGGCTATCCAGGGTCCGCAAATGTCAGCAAGCTTCCTGCGGCCATCTGCGGCTCAAAAAAGTGCCAGTGCTATCTGTCAGCTCGACAAAACAGTGCGGGGATCTTGCGGTTCGGCCAGGGCAGCAAGCCCGGCAAATACGATGAGGGCACCGGACGTGTATTTCGAGAAAACTCCATCTTCCAGAAGAGCATTTACTTATCGTCTCGAACCCGGGCGCCCAGACTCAAGTTCACAAAACTCTTCGGTTAAGGAGTGCTGGCGAAGAAAATGCCCGTGATCTTGGTCCCCAAGGTCTAGCAATTTGGATCCTGAAAATGACTCGTAAGTAGCGGCACTGGCATTGTAAGCACGGCCACAATGCTTGCTCGCAAGACAATACATGATCGGGACAATCATGACAGTAATCAGAATGACAGCACGAATGGCATCAACCGTATTCATATTCGTCATCCCGCGCAGCCTAAGACACGAATCCAGATCCACCATTAGACCCTACCAGGACCGGCTGAAGCATGCGCAAGCTGCCAGAAGCTCTAGACATTCCGGAATGAAATCCGTCTGCAGCTCACGGCACGGAACTCCTGCGCCAAACCTCGTGCTCAGACAAGGTCGACTCTTCCTGGAACAGGCAAACGTTAGAGCACGATCTCCAAACGCACACTCCAGTGATGATGGAATACGAGAAGTCTGGTAGAACAGCGCAACTTTTGGCGGCACGTCGGTCTCCCGGACAACCTCTTCAAAACAACAGCACCAACCCGGCACTGCTGATCTCTTCCACTGAACAGTGGCAGGAAGGTTGATGCTTGGTGCAGGCTGCGGAATTCTGAACCCCTGCACTGCTCTGTGGACTCGTGCCTGCACGCGTGCATATGTGGAACAATCTCACTACTCAAACAGCCTGGCCTCGTTGCATGGCGATGTCCCCACAACAATCCTTTTGCAACAGGTTCTATAGTCTATAGCCAAACGGCGCAATGCACGGCCCAATCATCCGGCAAATCGCGGTTGGAGCCGTTTCTGCCAGCATTTTCGCAGCAGGTCCTGGAGAGAAAAACAACACTCTGCAACTGCAGTCTAGGATATCATCATCTATTGCTACTTGTACTTGATGGCCATGAGCAATGAAGCATGTCGCTGCCCATGATCCTCATCACGCCGGTTATGACATTCATGATGAGTCTCAGGCTGCAGGCGAAGATGAAGACCCAGACAAGCACAATGCAAATGACGGCCACGACAAAGACGATAAGGAAACAGACCACCACGACCAAGATGCAACGGGCTATGTTCGAGTTTAATTCCTGCACGGCTTGGAGCCCACAGATAGCAGGCCAGAAGTGTGTTGCAAGCATTACACCATTGTTGCATCCTGCCTCCCACTGCGTGCGCAGTACATTGCATTACATCCGGCGATGAAGTTCCCAGAAACCTACATTGGTACTCGTCGAAACGCTTGGCATGCAACAGCGACGGTCCAGCTGAACATCCCCATTTGGAAGAAGTCCATCATAATGTGCAGCGAATTGCAGGCCCAGCAGTCAAGCAAATGTCCCAAGAGGGAAGTGCCACGAGCCGCCTGTCGGTAGTAAAGCAACCAGCTACTTTTGGCATGTCGCTGCTGAAGTATGGTGCCAATAGCTGCTTGATGCCCACAAACCCTAAACGGCTCCAAACGACCTACACGACGACCGCTGTAATTCAAGCGGCCTCGAGCCATTGCAACAAAGTCACAGTGCAGGCACCGCTCACTGGTCTTGATCTTGCGGCCATGTCAAGTGGTGACCACCATCGGTAACAACAACGCCACCACCACTACCAACAGCAGCAAATGCAACATCATTACCATCACTGAAACCATACCGCCACCACCATCACTACCGCCACCACCAGCGGCAGCAGCAACAACAACAAGAAAAAACACTTGCTACCACAAATATCACTGCTTCTGCAACTGCTCCTGCTGCGGCTCCTGCTGCTGGCAAGTTGCTGCTGCTAGCAAGACTGCTAGCCACATTTCTTATATCGATCATAGGGCCTCGTACAAGCCTCGAAACAACACCTATCTGGACGTCTACAAGTGCTCACCTACCGGAAATGTCAAGGTCTGACGAAGGTACGACCCTGCAGACTCGTACTAGGGCATCTATTGGATTCAGTCTGAGCCATGCTTACTTTTCTTGTCGAGCTGGCACGCGATGGAAGCTAGAGTTCTGAAGCAAATCTAAGCCAAACCTATATGGATGATGTGCCGGCAGAAGACTGCGTTCGCTTCTCATAAGGCCCCGGCCGAGAGCAGCCGCCTGACAAATCAAATGGCATAAAAGAAGCTTGCATCTACTTACTTGCGGGCTCGAAGATACGTTGCGGTGTTTGGTAGGTCGCCGCTGTCTTTGGGCTGCAAAAGGCCGCCTCGAAACAGTGACAGGACCAATCCAGGGGCAGCGGAAAAGAGTTCCAAGCGCCCAAAAGGGCTGCCCAAAAGCCTTACCGACAGCAAGCTTCCCCCCTTCCTTAAACATTGAAACCCCTAACCTCTGCAAGTAGTCCCACAGCCGCCCAAACACTCATACCTTGCGAACAAAACCTAGAAATCTCACCCTGTGTCAATAGCACAAACCAGCGAAATTTGGCAGCAAGTTCACAGAAAGTTGGGTCAGAATAACCAATAGGTACAATGGTAGATGGGTCTGTATCCGACACGAAACCTCATCTGGCAAGCACAATTCAAGCTGATCCTGAAACTAATCCTGATGCGAAGTCTGCGCCTTGCCATGGCCTCCACCCCAGCCTCGGCCTCAGACTGGTCAAGGTCTAAGGACGATCGCTGCTGGCGCTTCGGGTCGGAAGGAGGGCCGATTCTTCTTGTATCTCTTCCTGGCCGTATGTTCGTGTGGGCTCTCGTGGCTTGTGCTTGCAGCAGTCTTCGCACATTTTGCTTGTGTGAGTCCGTGCTTGTGCCTCATTGTGCATTGCCTTCACAAGCATCCTGCCCTCTTTGCTTCTGATGTGCTTCTGTGCCAAAATGCATCTCAAGTCTGTGCCTTCCTCTTGGGAGTTCAACGATCTTTTTGTCGATGGCGTGTCGCATGGAAGGTCCCAGGATGGTCTGCTCATTTCGGGGATTTGAGTATCTTGTTTGTCCCACGCCATGTGTTACACTGTATCGGATTATGCAATATTCCACTTGTTAACAGTCAGTATTCAATATATCATCGCCATTATCATTGGCATGCCGTTCTCGGTTTGCACGGTCACTGTCGAACATGCTTCGGCTTGGCTAAGAGCCGGGCATTGTCCAAGCAGTAGACCATGACATCACCTTGCACAGTATGGCACGAAGCAGAAGAACAGCCGCAACAACAGTTTTAGCGACATCGAGGCATGTCAAAGCGTGGAGCTGCGCCGGAAGTGTTTGTCTACCTTGGCTGCTGATCTTGTCCTACCCTTCTTCCCTTGCTTGATGTCTTGTCATGAAATTGCTCTCTTTACCTTCTCCGACAACTGGACTGGGCTGCCAAATGGGCCTAACGCCTTCCGACGTAGCTGCCCCCATCTGCACTTCGAGCCTCTCGGCCCGCCAGCATTGCCTCAAAACCCTTGATCTGAGCCTCCGTCCACAGGAACCCCAAATCTCTGTTCCCGAAGCCATCGAAGGAACTTAAACGCGCAGGGCTTGAACCATCCCACAGGCATCCTGAACTGCAGACAAAACTTGGCCAGGACCCTTGCAGACGCTTCCCCGTGAGCCGTCGGCCTGGTGCATTTGAGAGCTTCCCGATGACCGGCTTTGCACTTATTCGGGTTGGCAATCTTAGGACCCAAGGATTGGCTGATTACCTGAAATACTGTCGGTTCGAAGATTGTTGCTCGTTTCTTTCCGGTCATCCAGAGCTGATTTAACTTGACATCATCCGGTTCTTGTCATGTGCAGCGTCATGATGAAACTCCGTTCTGTTGCAGTTTGTGCACACTGATCCCGAGCGTGCAATACTCCCTGCCTGCATTCATGATCTCCCGTTATCCCTGACCTGCATGGAACAACTCGAACTACGCCTTGATTTACATCCTCCGCCAAGGCCACATGAGCTCAGACCCCACACTGCCAAAGAGGCTGGCTTCCGTGAGCTCCTACACCTTTGGTGCAATAGCACTTCAGCGATGCGAGCCCATCCAAAAAAAACAATGACCCGGTGAGGGTCCTTTCAGTGGCAAGCTACAAGAAGGATGAACAAGAAGTGTCTTCTCAAGGGCACCCCACGTGAGAACAACCCGACCCCCTTTTCTCCACAAGCACTCGAAGTCGGCTACCGAGCCCGGGAGAGGGAATAAGGGCTCGAAGGGTCTGGCCGACAGCCTTCACCATCGACCAAGACCAATGCGAAGATAAGAGCTCACGATGAGGCACCACAACTGGGTCTTGCGCTCCCGAACCTATACTCACGACTCCATGTCCTCACTTCAAGGTAAGGAACGTCGGTTTTCTCTCACTGAGTAACATCGTGGACGTATGCCTTCCAGGTTTTCCATTCAGGCCGTGGTATTCCATGATTTTGTCATTGTAGGTGGTCCGTGCCGCGAAAGGGCCGGGACCCTCGAAACCTACACCAAGCTCACTGACAAAAAGTTCGGGACAGGAGACAAGTCGCCAGCTCTGGCCTACTTGAATCTTGTGCAATCCTTCGGGCTGTGCCCTCGGTGCTGACACGCAAAACATGCCACACCGACCCTGAAGCTCTGCGCAGAAGGCTTTAAGCGGGAGAAGAGCTCTGAGGTGTGGCGGTCACTCCATCCCTTCTTTGCGGTTCATGGCAATTTCTGATGCACGAGCGCAAGTCGGCTCTTGAGCCTTGATGCACGGCTCTTGCATGGAGGAAGTCGCAGTCAGGGGACTATCAGTGCGATCATCTTAGCAAGTGCCACAGCACCAGCCTTGCATTACGCTCTTCGCTCGAAGCTCTCCTTCCGTCCGTGCACACGGCTCCCAAAACAATTCTTGCCCGTGGAACTCTTGCGACTAGGGGCGATGTTCTCCATTTCGGGACATGGGCTTCCCATCTAAAACAGATTCGACGTATCGTAAGCCCCAGGTGAAACACCCTTTCCCGGCATTGCGCACTAGTTAGCAAGAACCACGGATCCCAAATGGTGCGCCGGAGTGGCAGTGCATCACCGGATGGCTTGGGGACGTTATGGGACGTTGAATGCCCGTATGTCTCAGACAGTTTGTGTCCCTGAGTTAAATTCACTAGGATTGTGAAGACTAACTGCGCAGCAGCTGAAGAGCTCCACGGGTCCCAACGGACAGGAGAGCCGGAAGAAAGCAAATTCATGAATTCCATGCTGGCCTGGTTGGACGATGGGCATTTCGTGGCGGTTTTGCACCATAACCTCCAACCATGCCGGAGGCGACCCAGACACCAAACCCACCATTCAGAATTGACAGATGCAAAGCTCTTTGCAAGGGAAGGCTTCTGAGTCTCACTCCAGCCTCGGCGAGCCTCGGCCCTAGGCTGCAGCCTGACCTGAGCAACGTCTCCAGTCTCATCCAGATCCCCGATCTCCCAGGCTCTCAAGTTTCGAGGATTGCTCCTTGGGCTTTTTCCTTTCCTCCCACGCCCTGTCTTCAGGAGTTAAATTCAATTGCTTTCCGCAAGGCTTCTCTGGGCTGCTGGCTTCGCGGCAGGGTGCTGTCAGGCTGCCCGTAACGTGTCGTAATTTGCCCTGGTTGAACGAACTCCCTACAGTATTGCATATATTTACATTTCTGCCAATTGCGGAACTCTCAACCAATGATGCTCCATCTGAAGAAGTGGACTACGAGCGTCGATCGCGAACCCAGCAGGAAAATCATCAACAACCGCGAAAACAAACATACAGGCAAGCATAATAGCGAATGACAAGAGCCTAAATACGACCAAGACAGATAGCAAGCAACCAGCAGCACAGTACTCATAGGAATCCGGAGAAAATTGAGAAGAACGACTATGATTTTTACACTACTCCAAACTGAGCAAAATTGGCCAAGAGATCTCAACCCAGCGGCTCTGAGCGATCAGTGCAGATTGTAGCTGACGGTCACCTCTGCTACTGTAGTGTCATGTAGGGTGTGTTTCTGGCTTTTTTGGATTGAGATTGCTGAGGGTTTGTGGATGGGTTTACCGGTTGCTGCAGGTGGCTTTCGCATCCAGCTACTCCGTATCTTCAGCCATCCGTCTGCCTTGCGGCTACAGGTGTCTTTCTCTCCACTGTCTCTGTGTCCACTTGTTTTTCCTTCCTTTGCATCCAACGCTTGCTGTCGCAGTGACTCCGGCACAAAACTCTTTCGGACATTCCGGCTTCAAGGTGTAGCATCAAGCGCTAAAGTTCGATACACCCCGAAACATCGATGGCAGAGCCAGGCTACCTTCCTCGTTGACGTCGTTCTGCCAGTCCTGTGCGTGCTGCTGGCGTTTTCAAAGAAACATGTCAGGCACGGCATGATGGGCCCGTGATTCCAGGCAGAGCTTGTGGAACTAGCAATGGCAAGCACTGGTCTGCCCAGAAGTCTTCGCCGAAGTCTGTTCACCCTGGCTGACATACACCATCAACCCCTCGTTATCTACATATCCACAGAGCTTGAAGCTGACGCTGGTGAACCCAACGGTCCGGAAATCTACGCAGCAGCGTTGCGCGCTTCCAAGCAACCACCCCCATCGATTCGGCATGCGTCAGGCTTTCAGGCACAGTTTCGTTTCTCACAAAACGGTTTTGAGCAAATCCGTTGCTCTGCCCACCCCTCCATACAAACCCAGATAGTTGGCGTTGCCTTCTTTGAAGCCTGCATGCCAACTCGCCTGGATCTCGGCCTTCAAGTCCTCAACTTCGCTCCGCAGCCGCCTGGGTCTAGCAGACTTCCAGCAGCGGCAGGCAACGCATGAGGCTCAGACTTTCAGACCCGCCATGAAACAGTGAGCCGCGCCTTAAGCAGTCTGCTAAGGATCCTACAGTACTATCTATCGCCGAAACCTCTGAATTCAGACAGAAACTGCACGCTCCCCGCAGAATGTGCCCCCCCCGCTGTCGCAGAAAAGGAACTCTGTAAGTTTCCTCTCGAGGTCATAGAGGAGGATCTTATTTATCCTGTGGCGGCATGCTTGGCTTCTAGGGCAATACAATCTCACTACCGCTGCCACCTTTGGCCTTAGGAATGTGGTAGAGCTCTTCTGGAACACCGTAGAGGTCAACGCAAACAGATATGGAAAGTGCTTGCGGCGGCGGTGCAGTTCTGACTCATGGAGGACGGCGTTCTGGCACATCTGTCGGGCTTGCAAGCTTGAGCCCTCAACCAGGTAACTTACCCGCTGCTATCATCGTCGTCATTGTAAGTCTTTTTTAACATATATTTTAAATACATCAATCAGTTCTTGCATGCTTAATTTCTTACTCATGTACATGTGTACACATAGTGCTCGAATAATTATTGTGCATATGCACACACACACATATATATATATATATATATATCTTTATTCATTTATTTAAGTGTATATACATATACACACACACACACACGCGCGCATACGCATAACTCAAACAGATCCTGTGCTTGCCAGGAGTCCTCACTACCTCTTTGACGTCCTTGACCGTCGCAGGGTTCGAGCCACGCATACCTCAGCGACTGTGCGTTCGTGGACGCTTCCCCACTTTGCGATAGTCTTGAATATACCGCAGGGCTCTACAGCATTAATGTGTTTTGGCATCTTACGTACCAGAATGGGACTTCCTCCCCGTCGTCTCTGTCAGCTGATGCCGAGGTTCTGTATGCCGTAAACCCAGACCCCTTCCACTGAACCTTTGGCTAGAATGACTCTGCTGTACTAATCCAAGAGGCTCAGGACCAACTCCACAATCTCTTCAAATTGCATTCCCGTCTGACCCTTCCTCTGAGCGTCCTGACGAGTATTTGCTGGTTGGGGCTTAGCGATGAAGCCCTGATTCTGGCAGATTTCCAGATGCCAACCCAAGAGAGGGATGGTTCGTTTGCACAGGAAGCAGCGTTTAGAGGTGAAGCAGTGGCTGTCCAAGCTTGATCTATAGAACCTACGACCTATGTAGGGCGCGTGCATGTAATTGAAGTTTCGGGCCCTTTAACTATTCTTCAAGGCGCGAAGGTTGGAAAGCGAGAACTCGCCTACTGGTGGCCGGAATCTCTGATTCTGTCGTCCTCATAAATGATCTCCAACATGTCACACAGGATAACGACATCTACGCCCACGGCATCCACCACCTGCGCGATCCTCGGATCAGGCGACTTAGGAGGTTAGAACTAGGCTGGGCAAGAAGTAACCCTTAGGTCCAATCTAAAAACAAATTCAAGTAGTACGCAAACTAAAACAAGCCTCCTTTTGCGTCTGGACTTGTGCACTTGCCAGATCTTCCACAGCGCCTAATTGGCCCTGATACATACATGCATGTTTGTGTTTGTGCACACGCAGCAGCACGAACGAACAGCGACAACAGCAGCATTCAAATGTTTACTGCACATTTTTGTCGCTCGTGCCCGACAAGTCAGACGAGGTTTATTTTACTTTTCTTTTTTCCTTTTTTGTTGACTCCACACGCTCATACACCAGTCATGCGGTCGACCCATTCCCGGAAATGCTTCAATCGGCATCTCCCTGGTACTTGCTTGGCAGGGAACCACATCATTGAATTCACGCTCCTAGGTTGCTGCCTCCCGAGCCTTACCAGCAAAGGAGTTCTTGCTATCCGCTCCCCTTGGACCTGGAACGCGAGCTTGCGGCTTCTTGTTTGACTTAGCCTGAGGCTGAGAAAGAGCAAGTCCTCCTGGCGGAGTGGCTTCAGATTCCAGCAGGAAACTCGGCAGCTGTTTGGCCCAGAACATTGTCGGGCACACAGCGGCTATCGTGGTGTGGCTTCTCGACACCCTGACTTTGGGCTTGCGTGGGAATCTAACTCGATTTTCAGTATGCAAGGCCACTAACACGAAGACTGACGGCGTAGGGTTACGAGAAGCGTGTCATGCAGAAGAGAAGAGCAAACAATTCGGTGGCTGCCCGTGCTAGCGCTACATCACAACCTCCATGCTTAGACACGGTAAATGGGACTTCTCGGTCGAGGTTCACTCTACCCAAGTCAAGCGCGGGCAGCAACCTCTAGACAAGGTCTTGCGGAAAGCCAAACAAAAACTGCGAGGAGAGGATCCAAAAAAGAGAGGCCAGCGAACAGAGCATGCAGGATGTATGAAATGTGGAGAAGAACATGTTCCTGGATGTGGGGAATCCTAGGTCGGCCCTCACCGGGATCCCCTCAGCACTTGTCCGCGCTGCTGCGTGGCTTCTCATTGCAAGTAAAGGTGTTTTGGGCTTGGGTAGTACATAACCATCACCGTAACATACTCGGCGAGGCGGTCAGAAGCCATGCAGTTGCCGGTGCTTGCACAAATTGCAGGCAGATGCGATCTCGGTCAACGGGACCTCGTCCACCGGAAGTGGCCGAGGACGCGGTTGCCCCCAGTCCGCGAGCATCTGTAATGAGCTGGAGGTGATCTGAAGGTTCCGCGCTAGGTGCTCGAGGTGCCTCACCAGCTCTTTTCGCCGCACCAGACTTGAAAAGTCGTTCATTTCCTCATCTAGGAATCTGTCTCTCAAGAAACAGAGCTTCTCCATGCTGCGGCTGAGTCGGTAGGCAGCGTACTCCTTGTCGAGGAGAGCGTGATCGGTGTAGTTACGTGCCAGATGAAGATCCACCGTATCCTCTTCGAGGCTCTCCACTGCCAACGTATCTTTGCTGCAAAAGGAGATGACAGAGACAATGCGCGTCCAGTTCTCACTGGCATTCGCAGCGTGCAACACACGCTTGCCCTGCATGACGTACGCCCATCCAGGACCCGGTGCCCGGACCTCGTGTGCAGCGCCGGTTGCGTCCTGCATCAATGTGCCGCCACCCCGGCCGTCCTCTGGGAGTTCGGAGAGATTGACAAGCAGGACGAAGCTGTTGGAGTCGTTGTGCCAATCGAACACCTTCGTGGCCTCCTTCCCTTTCATCTGGATATTGGTCATCATGTGTTCCACCTTGAAGGGGTGCCACACAAGATCGCAACCAACCATGTTGGAGCAAGCTAGCAACATGGCCTCTGAAGTGCTCATCTGTCGGATGAACTTGTTGTGGGCAGCCATGTTGCGGATAGTCAGAGGCACCATGTGGCAAGAGTAGTAGCAGTTCTGCAGCACAGGCTTCGACAGGAGCGCTTCCCGATATAGCCGAAGACCCTCCTCAGAGAGCAGTCGAAAGGGCTCAGAGTAGCCGAAGTCAATCTCGCCCGGCGCGACCTTGTAGCCCATCTCTGACAGCTTGTGCACGCGGATCCCAGCGAGGTCGAGGGCCGACAAGTTCACATGCCGGGTGAAGTCGAAGTCTGGCCCCTCGTCCTCTGCTGTCGGCGAGTGCGCGAGAGACTCCATCCTCACGGCGTTGGCCATCGGAAAGCCTGGCGTTCGCAGAGTGTCAGCCGCCATTGTGGCCTTCATGCGGCAGCTGCGGATCGGCGTGGTCCGCAGGCCCCCAAACACGCAGGATTGCAAGACTCTCGGAAATTGCTTCATTCTCGCTTGCCTTGCTTGTGAAGCAGTGGAAGAGGAGCAGCACAGGGCCAATGGAGAGTGGAAGTAAGACGAGACACAAAAGACCGTTCTCCAGTGTGCAGAATTCTAAAACTACATGGTTTTTTCTTTCCATAGATATCTCGCATGTGTGGAATCGGGCCGACATCTTGAGCCGACAGTCGCAGCTTGGTGCACCTTTGTACATTCGTTTGAAATCCGTGTTAAATCTTGCGACCTCCCGGGCCCCGCATACAGACCCTTGGAGATATCATCCCTGTGGCGAAACTTAGTTTGGTGGTGGAAAGTTGCACCCTTCCACACCCGTTCGTGCAGAAGCCTGGCGATGCTGAAAAGCAAACTGAAGGTCGCTGACGAAGGCTTCAATACCGGAGAGAAAGGACATGTGTTGTCGTCGAGGCATTCTGCACCACCGTGATCAAACGTTCACACGGCTTACTGGGTTAGGACCTAAGAGTCTTCGCCACTCCGTGGTTCTTCCCACGATGTAGTTCTACGTGCAGTCCTTGCTCGGGAGTCTACGGGTAACCACCCTGCTCGCTCTGAGGGTCTGTGGCTCCACGAGGAGCTGTTCAAACTCGTACTTGGAGATGCGCATGCCATGCTGGTATCCTGGCACAACATCTGCGGTCCGGAAGCAGGCAGCCCAAGGCAAGGATAACTCCCTGCAGTCTTTTGGTCCTGGTATTGCTGCTCTTGCTGCGCCACAATTCGCAGGATAACGCTTCGGATAAGGGCCATCCGGTTAACGCTTTTTAAATTTAATGCTTTGATTCATGGCGGCAATCGAAGATCTCAGGCCCGCTGTTGAGCATTCACATCGGACTACCCAAGTATGCGGATTCATCCCGTGATTACATAGCCCGGCCGTTCCGCCGTGCTACATACCCGCGAGCCTGCGCAGAGGCCTAAAACCCCTAGACCCAAAGCTGCTACGGCACGGCATGGACCCAGCTGGCCGGCCTAGCTTGTCCATCTCCGCACGCATTGAGTCTGCGACGAATCCCACAGCTGCCCTCTCCTGCGCAGGGAGCTTTTGGAGCATGCTGTAGACGGCAAGGGCCGGTCTCGCTGTACCGTGCCTCGCAAGTGTCAGTGCCCAGCACTGCACACACTTGTCATCTTTTCTGACATGTCATCCTCCCTGTAACTCAGATACGCGGAACTGCAGAAACAAGGCGGAAGCGACCTATCACCAACACAAATTCAATCAGTGGTCGTGCCTGCATGCTGTGAGAACTTGGCTCGCTGCATACCTACCTGCCAACTTCGCTGCAACTGTGCACTCTGCATCGACCAAACAAATTCCTTCTCCACATTCGAGACGACGCCAACCACTTCCACAAGCACGCCGACCAACATGTACATCACCTGAGGCTGTTCGACCAGCTGTCAGAGGCTCAGGACTGGCTGCACAGAGAACCCTTCACTTCTCAGTCTTCCCTTTGAGGCTGAAGCTGTCACCGAGATCAGCAGCAGAAAGATGAAGACGATGGGCCACATCCTTTGTAGACAGTGCGCCTTGAAGTAAACCTCGCACTAAGCATATGACGCAAGCTTAGACGTACCTCGGCAGCTATTTGCAACCGAGCACACTTCGACCCACAAGAGTAAGCTTTAGGGTGCTCTGAAACGGCAGGAGCAGAATAGCGGTGTAGAGACCAAGGCCCTGTAAGGGCTCCTATAAAGGTTTCTCTTGGGGTTCATATATATATATATATATATACACGCCAACCACTACGTAGACCTTTGCCAGATTCAAGGCTCATGTCTACAGAAGCTGCTGGTGCCAAGATTAAAAGATTTCCTTACAGATTCTGCACGAGTCCTGGCGAAGATGTTCCCCAGTGGCTCACGGCTAGGCTACTGCTGGGTTCAGCCGCCCGCCAATCTCAGGCAGCTCTCCTCCGACCACGTCTAGTCGGACGTGTCGTGAAAGGGCCTAGTTATCCCAGCCTAAGGCCAAAGGCCCTAAGAGTAAGGCTCCGACACGGCGGATGTTCCCGAAATTTCGGCGAACAAGGCTGAACTCTCCTTCGGCTCTGGAATAACACTTGGCTTGCCAACAGCTTGGATTGTTCAGGTGTGATAGTAAGGATCCGGCTCTTTAGGATCTATATATTCAGGGGCCCCTTACTTTCCGGGACTCCAAAGCCCTAGCCAGCTCAGGCTGCACGATCTCTATTTGCACAAGCCAAAGAAGGAAGCAACGCCTTCTACCTGCAGGCTAGAGTCGTCTCGCCTGAAGTGCCGAATCCTTCGTGTCCCCTCTGCAGGGTCTCCTATGCCCAAACCCAAATAACACCAAACCTACATGCGCTTATCCATCTTCCAGGTAACAACTCAACCACTTCCCAGAACTTCGACCCCCTGATATTTCAAGTTCTTCAGCTTGCAGATTCACTAGACCAAGCGGAAACCTAAACCCTAACCCCTAACCCTAAACCCTAGCCCTCAATGCCCCCAACAATACCCGAGAAGAGCTCCGGGAAGAGTGACTGCACCAGTAAGGTGTTCATCGATGCGAGGACCTTGGCTGGTCTTGAAAAATAAGATAGGGCTTTGGGGGGGGGGGGGGGGGGGGGTAGTATTGAACAGCTGTAGGAAGCAACTCCAAGTAATACTAACTATGGAGAGTTACTGGAGTCGGCTTTTTCCGTGAGTTCGCTTCAATTGTCATCTCCATGGTGTAGTATGGGGCTGAAGACTAAGAATCGGCAGAGAAGGGCTCGCCAGGCCGCCCGTAGATGATCCTTTCTTTGCTGTTCCCTCCTGTGGATCTTCGGCAGGGTTTGATGTTCATTGGGAGTTGTCCGCCTGAGGGCTTCTGGAGCTCTGTGCTTGGCAGACTATGTTGTTCCCACAATTTGCCCTATCTAGTTCAGGAAAGTTTCAAGAGCTAGTGCCGATGCATAGAACCACGCGCAGGAAGCAAAAATGCCCAATCGGGAAGTGCAATCCCAGCGGCAGATCCGAAGTAGAGCGCGCCGAGCTCCTCTTGCGAGCTGAAGGCGAGGTGTGCTAAATCAGGCAAGGCAGGAGCGAAGGCATGGGTTTTTCATTGTCGGGGTCAGCGAGATGGGGTGTTTACATGATGAGTGCTAACTTAAGGTATGTTCTCGGCCACCTGTTGTCTGACAACGCATAAGTCGGTTCTGGTTACATCCACATGTTTACATACTGCCATTGCTACGATGGCGGCTGCCACATGCTAAACCGATTAGTTGTCAAGGGTGCAACACTGGTAGCAGCAGCCAACAAGGAGTAACAACACCACCACGCCTAGGGACTCCAAAAGCGAGCTTCTCAGCCCAACTTCACAGTAATCTAGACGTGACATGTTCCTGTTGGTCTCGCTGCATCTGAAATTTACCGGGCACAACGTTTTGCGATGGATGGCAGATGAGGTCCTCTCCATCCAGGATCTGTCGCAATGCCACGGCGAAAACATACACGATGATCACAGTGAAAGCAAAGAAGACAGAGACCTCGGACGTGACCAGAAGTTCAGGATCCTCTCTTTTGAGGCTTCGAGGGAGGCAGTGGCTGTCCAAATCCTGGAGGGCGCTTCCCGTTTGCATGCGGCCAGGAGACGGATCGAGCCGCGAAGCCCAGGCCCTTCACGATAATCAGCAACCTGACAGAACCCGTAATTCTAGATTTCTGTAGGAATTAATGACCTGGAGGTGTGAAGGCAGGGAGCCGGCATCTTTGATGCGGCCCTTCGGCTGAAGACAAGGATTCACACAAACCGAAACCAACCGGCAATGAAGAAGCCACACAGACGTGCTGCTTGTCTACATGTCTCTGCCCGTCCGTGTCTGGGCTTCGTATCCTGGCCAAGCAGCTCCGGGAACGCTTGGAGAAGCCGTGCTAGCCGGGAAAGCTTCAGAAGCTTTACCAAGCGAACCTGGACGTGGTATATACGGCGACGCAGAATGTGCAAGTGTCTGGTTTGTGCCAATCCATGGGCAAGTTGTCAGGTTCTAGCCCTAGCAGCTTAGATCAGTTTACACACATTGTTTCTGGTGTCCGGTGGTGTACATAAAGCTCCGTCTGCAGTCCCAACTTTCGATTCGCAACGAGCAATCCATCGCGTGACGATGTCGCTCTGCTTTGTTGCTAACAATGAAAACACACATGCTCCAGTGGAGCCAGAAGCTAAACTGCAAACAACTAGCCAGCATATCTAGAAGAGCCAGTATTTACAAGAATGATCGTTCTCTCTTTCACCCCACGTATAGTTCAACAGTAAACCCATGCAATTTCACGTCCGGTGCACCAGAAAGCAGCGAACAAAAACACGTAAAAGGCACCGTCAAAAACATAGACTGAGAACTGACAAGCCGCAACCAACTAGCAGCAGCACCGCCACCGCAACCACCACCCCCGCCGCCACCAACAACAACAGTCAGCGCAAGTACCAGGGGAAATTGCCAAAGTAAGAACAGCCAAGAGCCAAGCAAGACGCACTAACCATGCTGGCTAGAAGAGGACACTATATAGCAAAGTTGAAAGGATGCCAAGTGGCCATCTTCACCATCGACACGGTTCCTCCGCTGTCCAAAGAGACAACCCAGTGCGTTGGCCAGTCTTGTGCCGAGTGGCTATTACTTTGCCGGCAGAACATGCGAGATCTCTTTTCCGCAAGCCCAACATAAGGATTCGGATCCAGATTCGGACAGTTGCTAAGCCACGAAGCCCAAAACAACTTCGCAAAGCCGAGTTGCCCGTCTCCGCAGTGAGCCGAGCGTCCAAGGCCACCCTCGCATCGTGGAGCGTTGCGGGGAGGCACTAGCCACATTTACGTTCGGGGGCTTCAGGTTTCACTGTTGATGCTAACTGTCGCTCCAGCATCAAAGCTGGGCAGGCTGATCCCATGATGCGTAGCCTGATCGGGGTCTTGAGTTTCAGGTCGTACGGCCCAGGCGGGTGGCTGACGGAATCTTGTCTGGTGTGTCCTTATGATGGGACCTGGTGCAGCAGAGTAGCATGATCAGTGGCACAATCCACGTCTCTGCGATCATCCTGCGTGGGAGCATGGCAAGGTCCATCCAGTCACAGAGTCCCTGCACTTCGTAACGACTCTATGTACTGCGGCCACACTGAAAGCACGGACATGCTAGATTTGCAGGCCGTGCTCAGCAACCAAGTCGCAGAATCACCAAGCAGAGATCGAAGACGAACCAAAAGTCTCGTAGACAATCTCTCCTTAGTGCACGCGAGAACTGCGAAAGCCACGGCAACATGCTGCAATCACAGCCCGGGTGCTTCTGTCGGAACGCGCCGAAGCGGATCGACAGCTCTCCGACAAAAAAGGCAGTAAAGAGATTCCTTGGAATGAGGGCCATGTCTGCGTGGCGCTCTCGTCTAGCGAACAACGGAGAATAGCTGCAACAAGCATGGGATCTGTAGTCAGGCCTGTGAAGATATATTCATACTTGGTTTATGGAAGAACCGTTTCAACCAGATTACTTTACATTGGCATCGCAACTCGAGAGTCACAACACGAGTAGCTTCTTCTGACGCCCAAAAAATCATCATATCATTCGCGGCTACATGGAACACCAAGGACCAAGCACAGGCGTGCATCACTTAGTTTCTTGGGCATAGTAGTTCATGAATGAATCATAACTTTTGGCCCTTCCCACTTCTTGTTCAAATCCTCCGCGCCTCGATGAGGCTGCCAATGCCATGAGATCGCTAGAAAAGCAACTTCTCTGATCTCGAGCGAACCTGTCGTTCACTGGAGGGCTCACCAGAGATGAGCGGCCGAACATGTCGAACCCCACAGCCCCAAATCCAACCCCGTAAACCCCCTGTTGCCTAGTGCAAGTAAAGCCAGTCTAAGATTGACGATGATAGCTTTGACCGCATCCGAGAACCTATGCACTGATAGAAGCCTTCGCTGAATACCTGAATTCAGAGACACCGAAAACCCAGCTCTCCGATTCGTGACCGAGATGCTCGGCCACAAGGAAGACCACAGACGCCTCCGTCAACACTGCGGCCGGGTTCAGGTCCGTGTCTACTGCCATCCTGATTTCAGGTTCGCAGATTGGGATTCAAAGCTCACAGAGCTTGAGACTTCTGCTTACTTCGGCTTGACTGGGTCTTTGGCTCGAGACCTGACCTGAAAGCGGTGTTCCAAGCAAGGCTCGAAGTGAGGTGGCTAGATATTTTCAGGACATACTTTCTATAACTCATGAACTCAACCCCAAAGTGGATCCCCATCGCTGAGCGTGTTCCAACTTTTCTCAGGCAGAATGTGCGGCACCGAGTGTGCTCTGGCTCTTCTGGGCAACCAAGTATGTTTGGGCTGCAGAGGTCTAGGGTAGGGGCTTCAGTAACTTAGGAATTCCTCTGTGGTTCTGCATTTCGGCCGGTGCAGGCACGACATGCAGAAGCTTGCCGAGGCGCCACACCGCGTTCAGGAAAACGATGAACAGTGTAATGTTGTCAAACCACGTGCTGCGAGCGATGCCCTGCAACAGGTTCGCGTGATGGTGATTGCGCAGCAGACAGAACGACTGCATGGTTCAGAGAATAATGCCGGCTTCTTTCGGCCTTCTTTCAGGATCACGTTTCAAGTGGCAGCATGCCGCACAGTTCGCCTGGCAAATGCCTGTCTCCCAGTACTGGTCGAAGACGCTGTACTGAGGCTTCATGGATGCCTCAGCTGCGTATTTTGACACAACTTTCCATGCAGTCAGCGGCCACCTAGCAAAACCCGGTGTGCAGTAACCTTGCATCCATTGCACTGGACAACAAATAGCCCGCGAAGGTAGAAAGTCTGGTTAAATTTAGACATGGCGGACCACACCCACCCGACTTTGGGACGGCCAAGGTGGACGGCACAAAAGCTCAAACTTTGGAGACCAGCAAACAGCGGCACCTTCACCAGACACGAAGGCGTATCAGGCAACACCAAGCCAGGGCTCTCCCCGAAACTTCCGTACTCTAAGCCCCCCCCCAACACAAAATGGGCTGACAATCCTAAGCCCCATCCCAAACTCAGCCGTCAAAAATCCGAAAAGAACCCTCTTTTTCTGCTCTAGGCTCTGGGCGCCTGTGCGGATTCAGGCATGAGCTGGCAGGTGAGACTTTGAGCTTGACAATATCTAACATAGCTACTGTGGGACTTAAAATGCGCATGATTTTCTAAGCTCTTCTAAGTATAAATGTACTGACATACACTTGGTTCATCCGGCTAAATTTTATTTGTGTGATTTCATAGGCTTGCTTCTCCGTCGACTTGCGCACTAACTGCGTTCTAGTTGAATGGTGCCCCTACGTAACCGGAGGGAGAAGAGCCTCCGTGAATGGGTACCCGAGCCTTTGGGCGAAGGACTGGTATCTCCGCAGCAAATCTGTGGGCATCGAAAAAACCGCGCGCTGCGCCACCTTCATGCAGCCGGCGTCGTTGGTGTGGTCTGTGTAGTTCGCTTCCGGGTGCCGATGCAGATCTGCCACAGCCGCCCAGTCCAGTGCATTCTTTCGTTGCTCCGAACTCGCTGGCACACCTTCGAACCAAAAGTCCAGAAGTCGGTTCACTTCCTTGTCGAAGCCTTCTGACGATTCTGTCGCATTCTCGTAGCTGAGGCGCAGTGTGTCATTTCGCGGATGCTCATAAACACCAGTCATGTTCTCTACCAGCCCCATCATGCACTGGGCCACGAAGGCAACGCCCTCCTGGGGCCCCAGCCTCTCCACGGTGCCCTGGGGAAAGAACATCCGGTTCGTTTCCTCCTTGCCGCTGTGATGGTAACAATAGGCCGAAGCGATCATGACCAGCGGGTTCCGGACGGGCCCAGCCACCCGAAGGCTCCTTGTCTGCCCTGCTCTCTCTAGCTCCCTCCCATGTATCTCCATGGAGTACATGTCGATCAAGAACCGAACGGAGGAACCCCAGTTATAGCATTCACCTCCGAAGTAGCAGGGATCTCCCCAAAAACCCAAACGATCCTTCGGTAGACCATAGGCAGCCCAGACTGCCGAGTAGATCCCGTACATCATCTGGTTCCCACTTTTGTGAAAGCCCACGGCAAGGTAGTTATGAAAATCCCAAGGGAAATTCGTCGGGCTCTGCTTCTGCGACTTCCGTTTCCCTATCTGTTCCGCCTTCCTCTGGACCATGCAAGTCCCTGGCGGCCCCAACGCAGCATCATTTATGGCAAGGCTCCGTGTCAGAAAGCAGAAGCCTACCAGCGCGCCAGTCCTACCAAACATCCCCGCTGTGGCAATCCAAAACGCAGCTCCTGGTGATCGAAAGACGGAGCCGCTCGAAATTACATGGAACTCTGCACGACATGAAGGCTCAGTGGGGTTTCTCTAGAGCCTTGAGCCACACACGCCAGTTTCCAGGCAACGCAGATGTTCGTTAGACTTAGACAGCTTTCGAGGACAAGCCCGTATATTGCATGCACAAGTCTTTTATCTGCGGCAACCTGCAAGAACACCAACGAGCGCAGCATGAGACAGTGTGATTCCTAGCGCTCCAGGGTGCGAATCGTGGCGCAAACCCAGCAATGGCCTAGTTGAGCATGGGAAACTACAGCATGCGGCAGACAGATACAAACTTTACACCCTCCGTCAAACTCGAAAACCCGAAGAAAACGCCATGAGGCACGGACCCTTTCAAGACACTGAAGACCCCCGCCCGGCATCTTTAGTCGCCGGGACATCTTGCAGCAAAGACACCTCTTTCGCCTTCCTGGGACACAGGGTCTGCATGGTCTCTCGATGTCACAGCTGGGACACTCGGGGGGGGGGGGGGGGGGGGAAGGTCTGAGTCATGAGGCAGTACAGTAGAAGCAGGGCAAACATCCAGCGCATCTGATTCAAACGGACGATGGCTTCCTTACCGGCTTCATCATCTGCAGTGGCCACTTCCTCTAACAGCTACTAGTATGATACAACCAACCAAATCTCACATCCGGTGGCGCGCTCTTTTCAATCACTGCGCGTCGCCTCGGTTTCGGAGAAGGGTTTTTGGCCTTCTCACTGGCGAGGACAGGCACGCAAACAGAGCATGTGGCATGAAGGTAAAGAAAGACATTTGTTGAGTCTGACTGCTTACCACAATGTCCACCTCGCGAACTAGCCGTGCATGTGTCCTCTGCTGGCTGAATGAATCTACTAAAGACAGGCAAATTAAAGTGTCGAGAAAAAGAACCCGCTTCTGGAGTATAGGTTGCAGCGAAACAGGCGAAGCGGCCTCTAAAAGCTTGGCCACTTCCAGTCCCGCTGTCTTGGGAGAAAAGGTCCCGTTGCCGGACCAGGAAGAACCGTGTGGATACTTGCTTGTAGGATGAACGGATATGACTTTTTCGAGCTTTGACAGCGGTCTGAGGTCTAGGTTGTGTGCACTGTCCGGATCAGCTCTTCCTGGATGCGAGAGGGCTGTGCGAAGACACTGAAACCCTGAAACCCAGGCCATGCGCTGCACGAAGCGGGACCAACGTGTCTGCAGTTTCTACACGACACAAACAAACCTATTCACCTGAAAAGAAACGACTGAAACCCAGAAGCGCAAAGCGTGGGCCCAGCTCTTTTTCCACAAGCCCTCGGTTCTGCTAAGAGATTCTTTGTTGCGGAATGGCGCCTTAGCTCAGGAGCTTGGCCTGCTCGGGGCTTCGTCCCAGCCACTGAACTCGACCGGAGTCGAGGTCGTAAACGCCTCCTTGGATTTCCACCTGGCCGGACTTTACCTTGTCGCGGATATCGGCACTTCCCTGGATGAGGTTGTTGATGGTGTTGAAGACATTCACCTTCACCGCATGATCTGCGATCTCCTTCTCCGAAGCTTTGGTGCCCAGCTCCTTGTGCGCCGTTTCTGCCACGGCGGACAGACCAGCCAGAAGACCCTCCAGGGCTCCTTTGCCCTGCACGGCTCCACCTCCCTTCAGGTAAGTGGCCGTGGCACCTTTGATAGCACCGCAGGCGGTGTGCCCCAGCACGAGCACGAGTCGCGTCTTGAGCGCGGCTGTGCAGAACTCCAGGCTACCCACGATGCTTCCCCTTGCTTGAGTCACTGTGTTACCTGCGTTTCGCATGACGAAGACATCACCGGGCAGCACATCGAACACCAGCTCCAGTGGGACACGGGAGTCAGCACAGCCGACCTAAGCTACCAAGTGTTTGACGTGAAAGCAAGGAAAAAGCCTGTGGGTCCAACAACTTCCAGCAGACACAGACAAGGCCTGAGCGGCCGACGATGGCCGTGTGTGGGGCTTGGCCAATGGTTGCCAGGGCCTTTCGCATTTGCCCATCAAACTTGCCGGCCAGGGTGTTGCCATGGACGAAGCGCTCATTGCCCTCCTTCATGATCTTCAGCGCGGCCTCGGGCGCCATCTGGGGGTCCTGCGGCGTACGCACGGATGCACGGCTCAAAGCCACATCCATGGAGGGAGGCAACGAAGACTTGGAGGCGGCGAGGAGAGCTGCTTGTTCCGGAGATCGGCCGAGGAACTCCACCTTGCCAGTCTCCAGGTCGTAGATGCCACCTTGGAGGTCCACCTTGCCGCTGGCAACTGCATCGCGAAGTGGCTGGCTGAACTTCAGCAGGAACTCCATCGTCTGGAAGACATTCACCTTCACGGCATGCGCAGCGATCTGCTCCGCGGTGGCACCCTTCCCCAGCTCTGTTGCGGCCTTCTCCGCAACGCCGGCGAGGTCGACTAAGAGCCCCTCCAGGGCACTTCCTGGAGATCCCTTCTCACCCTTGGCATCCTTCATCGCCAGGTATGTCTGCGTAGCACCGACGATGGCACCGCACTTCGTGTGGCCGAGCACCATAACCAGGCGCGAGCCCAGTTTGCCGGTGCAGAACTCCAGGCTGCCAAGCATGGCACCTTCGGCGTGAGTGCAAGTGTTGCCCGCGTTGCGGAGAACGAAAATCTCACCTGGCATGGCATCGAAGACTGTCTCGATGGGCGCCCGGGAGTCAGCACAGCCAATAATTGCTGTGTGCGGTGCCTGTCCTGACTTGACAAGGGCCGTCTTCATCTTCGCGTTTGCCGCAACGCTGGCAGGAGTGCCTGCGACGAATCGATTGTTGCCGTCCTTGAGCATCTCCATGGCCTTCTCCGGCGGCACGGAGGCATCGTCGCCTGTGCGGACGCCGTGGATGCCGCGCTTGGCAGCACCCGCCCTGCTGATCCCAAGCATCGAGGGGGGGATGGCCGCAGAAGCCGCGCTCAAGAGCTCTGCCTGCCTCGGGGATCGTCCCAGAAACTCCACCATACCGGTGGAGAGGTCGTAGACGCCGCCTTGGATCTCAATCTTTCCACTCTTCACCGCCTCGCGAAGACCCTTGCTGTACTGCAGCAGGAAATTCATCGTGTGGAAGACGTTCACCTTCACCGCATGTGCGGCCACGAAGTCCTCGTCAGCCATAGGACCCATGTCGTACTCTGCCTGCTCCGCCACTTCACCGAGGCCTTCCAGCAAGCCCTCCAGCGCGGACTGGGACTCTGCCGCCTGCTTCTTGCGAGCAAAGTGAGCCTTCGTGGCACCGTAGATGGCTCCGCACTTGGTGTGGCCAAGTACCATCACAAGACGTGCCCCCAGGTTGCCTGTGCAGAACTCCAAGCTGCCGATCATGCTGCCTTCAGCATGGGTGCAGGTGTTGCCCGCATTCCGGAGGACGAAGATGTCGCCGGGCAGAGCGTCAAAGATAACTTCCACGGGGGCACGTGAGTCTGCGCAGCCGACGATGGCCTAAGTTACCAAGTGTTTGGCATGAAAGCAAAGGTCTGTGCATCAAAGAACTGACAGCAGGCAGAGACGAGGCATGAGCAGCGAGTGACCGTGTGCGGAGCTTGGCCATCATCCACAAGCTCCAAGCGCTGGCCGTTGCTCGTGGTGGTAGCCTGGGGTGTGCCCTTCACGAAGCGCTGATTTCCTGCACGGAGCATCTGCATCGCCTCGCCCGGCGACACGGAAGCGGACTTGGTAGTACGCACCTTGAGATCTGCCATCTCTTGCAACTGGTGGCCGAAAGGGGCAAAAATCTCGCAACGGTGATGTGCTTTTAAAAGGCTTGCGCCCAAATGGCTGGTCATTTTGGCGAGGTCCCCAACTCATCGATCTCAGCGTGAGCACTCTGTCTTGGGGACCGCAATTCAACTTCCGACAAAGCGTCTGTGCAAGGCGGTCGGCACCCTTGATCACCGCAGGCAGCTGTGTGCGCATCCGTTTGGGCACCTTGGGAGCTGAAGCCAGACTCTGAGAGCTTCCGAGATTTCGTATGCTAGCAAGACCGTACTTGCAGAAGTTACAAATGTCAGAACAAAGCCGGCAACACAAGACTTTCATCATTGCCAGTATCAGGTTAATGCGTAACCAAACGCCAGTATACCAAGTTCTAAACAGATGCACAAGCAAGTGCAGTCACAGGCCAAATGACAAGACACGACCATGAGTCGAAAGGGCAAGAGCCCCAAGACAGTGATGATCGTACAACCTAAACGAAAGAAAAGTACACCAACAACGGCAAACGCGCCAGTCGTAAGGCTAAGCTAGGGTTACCGAGGTTACAGTTCAAGTATTCAAGCTTCTTCTCTCCCCCAGCACACCCTTACACTCACAGAGCCCCCCCTTTCTCGAGCTCAATCCGGGCGGCCGGGGGCTTTTTCTTCTTCTTCGACTCCGAGTCTTCAAAAACCACGGGATCCTGAAAGGTCGAGCTTGCACTTACGACGTAGGGGTTTTGTTCCCTCGAAGGTTCAGGGTTTAGGGCTTTTTTTATTGGAGTTTGGGGGCTCCAGGCTTTTCGGGCTCAGGGCTCATGGGCTTCTCGTGCTTGCTTCTTGTTGCCGGGCTTCTTTCTGCCGTATTTTGGACCTCGCGGAGCTATCTTTGGGATTTAAGCAGTTCGCAAGGCTCAAGAAGATATACACACGCGTGCAGGACTAGTGCGTATACTCGACATGTCATGTGAATACATTGGCCCAGAACCCTGAACTCCAGCGCATGTCTGAGAGTCTAGCTCAGGCAACAGAGCCTTGTCAGAGCATGAGCACACCTCCAAATCCATGCCAAAGCCAAAGACTTGCAGCCCTTTTAAGCACGGACTGAGGTGCCGGCCAGTCTAAACCCTAAACCCTAAGGTTTGAGAAGTCCTGTGTCCGACGAGACTAGTGGTTGCTTGCATTCGGAAATCGCGATGCTGCCCCACTATTTCATAGCCAGGCTGTACAGTACTTTTGTCTCTTTATGATGGTTTGCGGTATGCTGGTCACAAGATCTTTTAATATGCTCGGCGCTTAATTATCCTCACACTGCCTCAGAACTCCAGACTGCAAAAGACCCTTGAAGTCAGAAAAAGGTCCGTCTGAGTCCACACGGCCATGCAGGGCGGGGCTTCCTCGGATTCTGGAAGCTGCTTGGTGTTCCCGTGAGATTGCGCGGTATATCCACGAAAATCGCGCCGCAAAAAAAAGATATCTACATAGATGAAGCAGTGCCACGTGCTATGTACTGAGGCGTTCTCACGTGGTCTGTGCAAGACCGAGATTCCGTCTGGGTCTGAAACCTTGCAATCACGGATGCTCACTGCTTGAGGGTCACAGAGTTTTTCGGGTCTCTGCATGTTTTCCGTGATTTTTCGGGTGTGCTTGCGATATGGCGGATGGAACGCAGCATCGGAAGCATTTCACCCAGCCTTGAACTAAGCTGACTATGAAACACTTTAATGTGCATGACTGCTGTCCCGACCACATGAGGCCGAACTTCTGCCTGGGCTTACGCATGTCCTGGTTTCAGTCAGCCCTCCTACCTGCAGGATTCTACGGCCTGGTTTCAGGTTTTGGGCCAGGGCTCTTTTCTGACAGGGCTTGCTGGCTGGCCGCATCGGAGCTACAGATAGAGCATCTGCTCTTCAGGTGCGGCCTCAAACAAGACAAGCTTAGTGCAATGCCCAGGTTTGACCAGCTGAAATCAAAAGGCACCTCCAGTTTCCATATTCTAGTATGCGCTGCTTAGTTGTGATGCCTGCTGTTTCGCTTAGCTGCAATCCGGATTGTTAAGGCCTCCGGCATCCAGCATGCAGCCAAGCCGCTCTCGTAACCGCCGAGAAACCTTGCATCAAGGGCCGGCTGGGACGAGGGGGCGCCTTATGCTTCGTACTTCGGCTACGGGCCTGGGAGGATTCTGTCAAAACGGAGAGCCCTCAGCCCTGCCTTGGCCTGCTTGGCCAGGCTTTGCAGTGAGCTGAGCGCTGGGGCCGCTGGGGCTTCGTTTTGGCTGGGGCCTCAGTGCTTCTGAAGCCAAAGGGGGGATTGGGGTTGGTCTGCAGCAGGTGCGGTTGGGAGCAGAGAAAACTTTCGGCATAGTAAGGCTGTGACTAGCCGCTTCCATGGGCATGATCACAGAAGATCTCGACCGGTCGTTCACCTGTGCACGGCAACACAACGATATGTGATCTGCAGCATGTGTTTCGGCGGCGGTGTTTCCGCCTTCAACATCGGGCTGCGAGGGGTGCTTGTGTTTGGGGGGTGCGAAGTCTTGGTCAGGCCTGGCACCCTTCGAGCTTGGAGCAAGGGTGTTTAACGTCGAAGCGACAACTCGCCATGTTACTGCCTAAATGCCAGGAAGAGCACGCTGCCGCGCACTGTAAGGCAACGACAAGCGAACCCAAGCAGCTCCAAGCACGGCACTAGGTCTTTGCACACTTCCGTTCAAGGGCCAACCACCGAAAACCATGAATCCCCAGCACCAGGATGTAGCATCTATGTCAAACCAGACCCATAGTTCCAAAAGCCCTAATAAGCCTTACAACAGTAACGCCCTAAATCCTCAGATGCACCATGACAAAAGCAAGCCCGCTTTGCGTGAAGTGGACCCGCCTTTTCGGCCAGAACCTGCACAAAGTCTAACCTGGGTTTCGACTCGCGTAACTCGCAGAAGGCAGACAATGCTTTTTTTGCCGCCCACATTCGGACACTCCAGCCGAGGCAGTTCGGGGGTTTATTTCCTTAACATGGTCGCAGATTGCCTAGCGGTCGCCAGTCCGGCGGACTTGAGTGCCATGTTAAGTCCAAGTGCAGTGATTTTTGCTGCGCCCAGTTGCTGCAATGCTTGCTGGATACGCGAAATCTCTGCCAGCACGGTCCTCGCCAATTTGAAAGCTGATCCACTGCCAGCTGGATGCTGGTAGCCAGTAGCAAATTCGAGCCTCCCCTCATTATTCAAGCATCGAATGACTCGACATCCGAAGGAGTGGGCATCCTGAAGAGATGTACCCCCCCTGTTGCTTTCCCTGCGTTCTGCGCGCTGAGCCAGACTTTGTAAATGTCAGGCGGATAAGTCTTACCTGATTTCAGGGGGTGACGGATCACAACTCGAGAGGTTTCCAAAAAGTGTCCTCGTCCAGGATCTAGAACAACCAAAAAAAGAGTAAGCAATCTGTTCAGCTTCTGCGAATGGACTCACTGGTCACTGTCATTACCGACATTTACAAAGGCCGACGGGGGGAGCCCGCTTCGGGTTCAGGTTTTGCGGCTCCAAAGTTGCAAGCTCGAGGAGGCATCCATCGCTTCCTCTGTCCCCAGGACCCGTACTTGCATTTGGCATGAACCCCCGAAGCTGTATCTGAAATAATTAACAAACAAACACCCCAAGCTCCTGAAATCTGCATCCGCTTGCTTCCGACCACGGTAGATGTCCGCTTGCACCTGCTACAAGCCGATGGCTCGTAGGACATCGAAAAAGTCTCCCCGGACTACTTACCATCAATGACATGACAGCTGCTGGCTGAAGGCTAGAAGGTAGACCTGTGCACTACGTCACAATGGAGCTGGGTCTGCTACACGTTCCCACGATGAGCAAGTCGGTGGTGAAAGCCGCACCCCCACACGTTTGGCATCTGTCCAAGCACCAGAGTTCGCATTATTCACCGCTGCTCCTGCTGGCTGTTAGCTGGTAGCTGGTTGCAAGAATTTCCTCCCCCGGACACACAAACACTGTAACACACAGAAACCCCGCAGCTTCGCGTTTTGACATCTCTGTTGCCTCGGAGAGGTCGATATTCAGGACGCTCTCGCGCACTTCGGCGAGATGCTCCAGCACGTTATCTTCGAGCAGCCTTGGGCAGTTCTGCGGCACTTTGCCTAAACGACATCCGGGGATGAGGTAAACCTATCGCTGAAGGCCTGCGACGGCTTGGCAAGGAGCAAATGTCCCGTGAGTGTAGCTCGTGCCAAGAGGATGCCAAAACAAACCGAACAAAACTTACGCACAACTCCGGAGTTGAGGTTGCACGAAATGGCCTTTCAATTCAAACGGCTGGGCAGTCTCATGCTCTGAAGCAGCCCCGCGAGTTTGACTGTGCGATTGAAACAAAGCTGTGCCCTGTACCTGCGTGAAATCTCTGCCTGCAGCCAAAGCCGCGTGCCCAGCTTCTCCTGATAGCGAACCTCCTGCACATGCAGCGAGTCGAGCTCCCTGGCGAGGGCAAAGCTGTGGCCGAGGGGTGGGCTGTCATGGGAACCGCTGCGACAAATGAAGGTTGCTTGGAGGTTGAGGTCGTGATGACATTAAACCTGGCAAGGAATGCACAGAGCCCACATGTTGAGATGTCGGCTTTCTCAGAAGGTGCTGCCTGCACAGCCGTCCCAGACCCTAGACCCCTGCACCCTTCGTGAACGAAAACGGTTGCCTACTGTAAAGCGATAACCCCTAAGTCTTGTACTCTGCAACCAGAAGCCCGAAGCCCCCAACCCGTAACCTTCAAAGCCGTAGCAAGTCAGGACTGCACGAAACCCGAAAACAGAGAACGTGGCTGCCTTGCCATCCTGCCCGCGGCTCCAAGGAGTGCATCGGAGGAATCTGCCGGGGCACTGTGGCCGCGACTTCGGGGCTTATTTGGAGGTGCCACTGAAGGTTCACAGGGGTGAGGAAGGAAGAACGTTTCGGCTCCCAGCAATTCGGTGTCACGTGTTGAAGGTCTCGCGGTGCGGGTTCGGAGTTTGGGATTAGCGACAGCTTTCTTCCTTCCGAGCCTTTTCCTTGCATCGGTCTGCAGCTTTCTGTCTTCGCGACATCCTTGTTGTTGCTTGTTTTGTCCCCCGATCGTAACAAACCACACAACTCAAGAGCAAACGACAGCCAAAGGGTGCCGCACCGCAAAGTCGAATCATCTTCTCCGCCGAAACGTCCTGTTTTTCTGCCTGGGTGGGCAACAGTCTGCACAGAGAGGTGAAGCCCTGAAACAATCCCATGTTCTGCATGTCGTTTTGCATGAGGGCTTGTGCAATCACCTGGGTATCACCACAACACGCATCGGCCATCTCATGGTCTTCATAAGACAGTGCCAACAAAAAATGCTCATGATCTCCAAACCCCAAAACCGACGAACTCCAACCCCCAAAACCCCAAAAAGAAGAACAAATGACCCGGTAACCGTGCAGTCCAGCAGCCAGGCGTGCAACTTTATCGTCAAGCTGCTGCACCATGGACGCCAGCTCGGAGCCTCCCGGCTTCTGCAAAATTTCTCTGCTTTATCACGCGCAAAGACTGTATTCGTGTACGTATGTATCTATGTATGTGTGTTGACATACTTACATACATACATACATACATATGTATATAGACATATACATAAAAATCTACACATACTTGATTACAATTTTTACATCGACATACACAGATTATGAAGTAGGTCCATAAAATACAACACGGAGCTGAACCTAGAACATGTAACAGTATGTATACATACTGCTATATGATTTTAATATGTCAGATATTCCGCACATGCCGGTCCTGCGCTCGCCTGTCTGCATGCAAAGGCCTTAAACATCCTCAAACCTACACGAGCTTTATGGGAGTTTCCGAAAATTGAGGGTCCTTATTTTGGGGTCCCTACAATAAGGATCCTACTATAAAGGGTACTATGTTAGGGTCCCCCGTTTTCGGAAACTGCCTTAGCTTTTTCTGACGTACTACTACGATTAGAGTACTCTTACCATATAGCTCCAGTCTTTGCCGGAAACAGGAACCAAAAATTGCAAGAACCCTTGCGTATCACAAGGCCTGAGGCGTTGATTTTCAGGTCGACCTGGCGAGACTCAACAACTCTCCTAAGGGTGGCTGGAGTTCTACAAATGCTCTCGGATTTCTTATGAACCGTGCGGCTGACCGTTTACAGTCACACGAGGCAGGCAAGGCCTCACGACAAGCCGTCCGACAAGTAGCTGCTAAAATTCAGTCCAGAACCAACCGACCGTGAAGTCATTGCAGCCAAAGAGCACCCGAGCCCAGACCGAGTCACGAGGCATGCTACAAATCTAGCAGTCCGTCCCGGTAGTAGCAGTAGCAACAGAACACTATTGGGAATGTTCTATCACTATTCCCACAGCAACACCTCATCATCCTGACTCAATGCCTCTGTCCATCTGTTGCACCAGATTTTGGTGGTTCACCCAAGTGTTTGCAGGTGCAGCTCAGCCTTGACATGCAATTACCGTGAGAAACTGCAACTACCAAGAACTTGCTTCAATTGCTTGTGTGCATCCTGCGAATTCCCCTCCTTCACCTCCTGCTTGGTGTCCTGTTGCATAATCTCCAGCTTGACTTCCTCCTCCATGTCCTTCGACTCCTCGTCCTCAATCTCTATCTTGAGTTCCGTTTCACCTCCTTCGAACCCCGCTTCAACGTGTGTCTTGCTGTCCTCAACTTCTTCCTTCACCTGCAGGTTGTCCGTGTCTTCTTTGTGCTTGTCAGCTTGTCACGGCTGTCAGCACGAAGTTCGGTTCCGTCTTCGTAACGAAGCTGGGGCGGATGAGGTTTGCGCTGCTTCGCAATCCTCATTTTCAATCTGCAAGCGCCATGGCCTTGCAACAATGGAATCTCGAGCCACTCAGGTCTGAGTGCTCCAGGGTCGATGGAGCCGGTAGTGTTTAACATTGACGGAAGGTCCCAGAATGTGCGGAAGGCTGAACTCGGAACGCTTGGGCCAAGCTGGCATGAAGCCAAAAGGCACAAACCCAGCCAAAGTTTCCAAAGTTCGCATAAGAATAAAAGTCTAAACTTGAAACTCCACCATCGATGCCTGGCTCAGCCGATGCCCCAGCACGGAGGACATCTCGCGCTGCTCTCGCCTCGGATCCCCGGCTCAAGGTGAGGCTTGGAAGGGGGTCCACACTCCACACCTGGAGAAAACAGTACAGGCGACCTTCGAACAAATCGTCAAGACAGAACAAAACATAGGTAAGTTACAGTACATTGCATTAATACATGCGTATTCAATACAACATTTTGGGTTACGTTATGCTTACATACATGGGATCATACTTTCCTGCATTGAACCAACACGCGTCTTTGTTCAATCTTGGCTTCTGTTCGCAGGTGTGTATTACATTTCAAAGTTAGGTACACATGCATACGTCAGCATGGAGAGACCGAAAGAGCGAGAGACAGAGAGAGAGAGAGAGAGAGAGAGAGAGAGAGAGAGCGAGAGAGACAGAGCCGGAGAGACGGCGAGGGAGCAAGAGAAAGACGAAGAGAGAAAGACAGAGAGATCGAGGGCCGAAAAACGAAATAGAGAAATGAAGAGAGCGAGAGATCCGAGGGAGAAATCTAAGACTTGCGGAACATCAAGCTACAGCTGTATAGTGGCATAGCATCAAGGTATGCTTCCTTACTCCCGGAACAGTGCGCGACCTGTCCTTACTTAGGGGGGCGCAGTTCCACTCTCGGCCCTGACCTCGAGAGCGAACATCTTGTGCCGTTGTGTGTGTGTGTGGGTGTGGAACCCCGACTGTCTGGTATCTTCGGGCTCTCCCTACAACATCTGTCGAGGGCCCGGCGTGCTGACATCAATCTGATCTATGACCTGGCAGTACGAAGCGAGTGAGCGAGGTTTTACTGTTCATAGGCTGCTAGACGACTCCAAACTTTCAATTCAAGGGATTCCAAGAGGAAAGTCAGATTCTTGCTTGCAGCACCTGTCGGCAAATCCTTGAACCTCCAACACCAGCCAAGCAAACTCGAGCTGTAATTATGTGTCATGCCAACCATTACAGTCATTACAGTAGGCGGCTCTGGCAGGCTCGAAGATGAGGCAAATGTTGTTTTCAAGGATCCGGACAGAGGCAACAACTCGATCGATATCGAACCCAACACCGCCAAGGATGAATCATGGTGCGATCTCAAAGCCAGAGGTCCGCAGCTACTTGTAGAAGTACGTAGCCTCTGTGCCTATGTCAGCCGCAATATCTCTGCAAGCGTCCAGCATAACGCGAACCTCTTTGCCTCCCCCCTCACCCCCTCCCTTCCGCGCGCCGGAGAAAAGTCTGGCTGTGGTGGCGGCACGGCGGCCAAAGCGGCGAGGCGTGACAGCTGGTCCTCAAGTACTTCACATCTGAATATGTCAAGTTTCCGTGTGTTTTTGTTGCCAATGTCGGCCATGGACTACGGGCAGGGGCAGTCACAGGCTGCTGGCGGGAGGGGTCAGAAGTGTCCAGCCTGACCATGCAAGGATGCATAATTATTCCCACAGGGCTCTTCGAGGGAATGCACCTGTGCCTTCACAGTCATCGCTTCAAGCTCGATCAGGTTATGTCATCAGGTTTTGCAAGAAACATGGCTGAACCACAGACTTGGCATCAGGCGCTGAGCACCTTCATCTGATGGGAGAGTGGGGCTTCGTGCGTCCTCAAAGCAGGATGCGAAGCAAAGGTGCTGCTAGACTCTACGTCCCAAACTCAGATTAGGTCATCCATGCACCACAGGCGTGACTATAGTAGAGCTTCGGTATGCCGATTGACTCCACTCATCTGTAAGGCTGCACTTTCAGTGCAGCCATGCCCTGTCCTGATGACTTCCTGAGCCAGCGAAGAAACTGGATTCAAGGATTTCGCGCTTTGACCTCCATACCCCACCTACACGGAAGTCTTTCTAATCTGATATTGACCATGAGTCCCTGCTATTGACCATGAGTCCCTGCGGAATTGATGTTTGACCCCGAATAGGAGACGCATGCCCAAAAAGACCCAAATCCGAAGTTAAAGCGTGCTTCATGAGTGATTGGCTAGCGGCTAGCAAGGTAACGTGCCGTACTTGAAACCGTAGTGCGGGGCACTGGCAGCGACGACTAGCAATAGCAGCGCAATTAGAAGTCGCGGCATGGGGAACGTTCGCCTTCGCAGTGCAGAAGTAACGACGCACACGTTACAGACGGAAGAGAAAGAACCCGGGGGGACAAAAACTCTTTTAGGGGAGCCCCCACACCTGAAGAGATTGGCCTGTCATTGAAGCCACCGAGATGTGTTAGTCAACCTAAACTCCATCTGAGTCCACCCTCCTTCCGGACTCGCTTTCGTGACTACCTCATGAGCCCAACATCACACAAAAAGCAGCAACCCAACATACCGTAATAAGCCCTATTCGGAAGCCTGCACAGGGCCATCCCTCAAAGCAATGCTCAGGTTGTTATAACCAACGTAACTAAAACCCAAATACTCCCAGCTCAACGCAACTCCAGATATGGGAGTTTCGGAAAAGAGGGACCCTAATATAGTACCCCTAAATAGTAGGATCCTTATTATAGAGATCCCTACATAAGCTACCCCTAATTTTCAGAAACTCCCAAACCCTAAACCCTATAGATCCCTGTAAGGACCCTTAAAGGAACCCTTATAGATCAAGTCAAAGGAGCCCCTAATTTTCGGAAACTTCTATGTCAAGCCAAGACTCGGACACCTCCGTGCGGAGAGCGGCGACGGCGGACCTGAAATCCAAGGGATTCTCGAGGAGAAGGAGCAGCGAGAGTTCCTAATAGCAGTAGCAGTAGCAGTAGCAGCAGTAGTAGTAGTAGTAGTAGCAGTGGTAGTAGTAGTAGTAGTGGTAGTAGAAGTAGTAGAAGTAGTAGAAGTAGCAGTAGAAGTAGCAGTAGTAGCAGTAGTAGCAGTAGTAGCAGTCGTAGCAGTAGTAGCAGTAGCAGTAGTAGTAGTAGTAGTAGTAGTAGTAGTAGTAGTAGTAGTACTAGTACTAGTACTAGTACTAGTACTAGTACTAGTACTAGTACTAGTACTACTACGACTAGTAGTGGTAGTAGTAGTAGTAGTAGTAGTAGTAGTAGCAGTAGCAGTAGCAGTAGCAGTAGTAGTAGTAAGTAGTAAGTAGCAAGTAGAAGTAGTAGTAGTAGTAGTAGTAGTAGTACTAGTACTAGTACTAGTACTAGTCTAGTACTAGTTACTAGTACTAGTACTAGTCCACCGTACAAGAATTGAGAGGTGTGTCTGACTGTGTGTGCCTGAGCTCGTTCTTCACCTCTTGCTTGAGCTCGCCCGTCATGATCTCGAGCTTGGCCAAGAAACCTAGCAAGGGCTCGGCCATAAAAAAACTGTAGGATATAATGCTTTCAGTCAACATGTGTGGTTTGATCGGGATTTTGGGGCTGCATGCATTGGTCAGCCTGGAAAACCTGCCGCAGCTGCCCGGTACTTCTGTATTGCGCCCGACTGGACTACTGTGATTTTGTTTCACATCAAAGCTTGCTCTCAACCGGAGAGTCTCGAACCTTGAGCCTGGAACTCAAGAAGTTGAAGCTGCCAGTAGTGGCAATCCGGCCTCGCTTGCACAGGTCCAGGACATCGTGCCACGCAGAATTCTGACTTTGAGTCCGGACCTTCTCTGTGCCGTCCTGAGCTCCGGGGATGTGGATCGCAACGTGCTGGGGTACGGGTTGTTTTGTGTCTGGAATTAAGGGTTCTTGTTGGGCTGAGGTTGAAAGGGCAGCAACTGGTGATCTAGCTTCGGGCAGATCCCTTCTCGGGCACCATCACCTTAACAAACAAACCATTTGGTGCTCGAATGGTTGGAGCCCTTCACGTCTGACTTTTCTGAACCTAGACGTCTCACCCGCACCATCTTTGGGTGCATCACGACAGTTTCACTGTCCCGCTATGCGGCCAGGGCCGAAACAAACGCCGAGAACCGGCAGAAATCCACACCCAGTGTCCAGTTCCTGTTGCCACCAAAACCCCAAATCATGTTGTGAAGATATCTCGTGGATGACGCTGTCGGGCCTTACCGACGATTCAATTTGGCCCTGAGGAAACCCAGCTCACTGGCGGTGGACCTCGGATTGCGCCTGTTGCACGTTTGCTCCCGAGGCTGCTGCTCTGGTGTAGGGCTTTACGGGCTTTGGGTTGCAAGCCGGCTTTATGATTCAATCCGACTCCCGACTGGATTCGATCTAACTTGTCCAGACCAAATCCTTACACCAGGGCAGCAAGACTCGCAAGCATGGTGTGCAAGGAACTAATGCCACCGTCGCACGACTTGTGGGAGACTCAAGACTGCAAGGTAAGGCGCCCGAAGCACTTGTTGGCACCAGCTGCGCTGGCCGAATGATGCAGATTCCCGCTAAGTCGGAACATGGTGTCAAGCCCTTCACTACAGCGGGCCCCTCGTGTCACTGGAATGCTGGAGCCCGTGCAATCGCCGCCACAACTCGTGCCATGGCTAGGCAACAGCCAAGAGCATAGCAGGGTTGCGGCAGCTTGTGAAAAAAGCTCACCACCACATACACCACTACCACTGCTGCTACTGCTACTGCTCCTGCTACTACTACTACTACTACTTCTTCTTCTGAGTAGTGAAGAAGAAGAAGTAGTAGTGGTGGTGGTGGTGGTGGTGGTAGTGGTAGTAGTGGTGGTAGTAGTAGTAGTAGCAGCAGTAGTAGTAGTAGTAGTAGTAGTATAGCCACGGCCTCCAGTGATCAATATAACTTGCTAAGTTTGTCATTGTGCTTGCATAGGAGCTACGGGCAATACTACCAGTAGACCCCAAAAAGGACATGGCTTGTCGGAACTTGTTTGACTGCAGCTCATATGCAGTCCAATCACCAGTGGCACTGCTTTAGACTGCTATAATATGGCCGCAATACCATCGGCAACGGCGAACGGCTGCTATGCTTGCGAGATGAATGTCTAAATACCATTGAAACCCTGCAGCACCCTGCAGCTCTCTGCAATGCCTGCCGTTTTGGCAGCACGATCAACGACTCGAACCCCGGAGCCCGCGCACACGCTGCAGCACTGTCGCAAGATCTCTACTTTTGACTCCTGGGACACCTGATACCACCTCCTCTGAGTTGGCCTGCGCCTCGAAACTCCGAACTGAAAGATAGGTCAGACAGGCCAAAGACACTTCGAAAATCAAGAGTCAAAAAACAAGGAGCGATCCATAGATCTCAGTACATACATACCTATCCATACATAATAGCGAGTATAAACAAAAACACATACATACACATAATATACATACACTACATACATGCAATGCATTACATACTTACATACATGCATGCATACATACGTAAGATTTACGTAAGTACCTACATACCTACGTACCTACATACCTACGTACCTACATACTTACGTACCTACCTGGATACATGCATACATCCATACATCCAGGCATCCATACCTGAATACATCCATGCGTGCATACATCCATGCATGAATGCATACATACATGATCATACATGCATACAAGTCCGTCTATGTCTGCATTCTTTCGCTCGTAAACCGATTACGTAACAACAATGTTCGTGTGGAACGGAGTCGTGCAAGAAGCAATAGTAGATCAAGGTCTCTCCCATTCTGAGTCTTCCGACGGTCTTACACGTCGAAATGGGGGACTTGAAAGCCGATGCTCTTAAATGTTTGGCGTCCGAGGTTGAAACTGAGGACGAAGCCCCATACACTCTCTACTCCTTATTCTATTTTGCAGCTCCGGCCGCAGGGCTCCCCCGGCAGCCTCCGGCAGAACTGCGCCATCCTGCGCTTCGTCTTAGAAAGAAGCTTGTTGTTAGCTCACTGCTGCAACGACAAGTCCGAGCGAGCATTGACGATCAAGCGTCATGCAGGCGGCTAGCGAAGCGTGAGCACGATATAGTTTAGGGGTTTGGTGGCAAAGGGCTTATGAGTTTAGACTGGCCGAAACCGTACAGGTGTCTCTCACTTCCTGAAGCGAAAGGACGGCCAGCGGAGCTCTGCTTCAAGCTCCCGATGCAGGGAGCCTCAGACTTTCTGCGAAAGGCAGGGTAAGCCAAGAATCGACTGCAGGTAGCCTGATGATTTAGGGTCGGGGGTTTTAGGGGCCTAATACATGGGATTATCCCATCTTTTCCTTGGCGTCTGTGCGACGAGCATTAGCATGTGCATCGGCGCACGCAACTCAGCCCAAAGTCGAAACTTACAGAAAGTCTTGAGCTTCCTGCACTCTGCTACGAAGGCTGCCAAAAGCAGCGTCGGCTGCCGAGGTGAACAAAGCTCAGGGCCGCTGACATCAGATCCAGGGAAGCTTCACCCTTTCTTCAAATATCGGCCACGTCACAAGCATATGCAACGCAGCAACGCAACTTCGAGATGGAAGCCGGCTCATTGGAAGCTGTTAGCAGCGTTTTTTGGCTCGAGTTGTACCAATCAAACGATGCCAACTCTACGACCAGAAGGGTGCCCGCAACGACAGCTAGACATCACCACCAGGTCACGAGAAAGAACGCGACTCTAGGTTGCTACTTTGCCCTAGCCCAATTCGCAGGACGTCTGCCGCGCAGTTTAAGTTTAGGGTTCGGTGACCGCGTTCACTGCACAGCAAGTGCTACACCACTTGCTTGCATCTTCGCCGCATCCTTTTTCTTTCGCCTAGGTGGCAAGGTCATGTGGCTCTACACGAGCAAAAGCCTTCAAAAGCCTGGGGGACAAAGCCTGTGGGGTTCCCTCCTGTGTTTGTGGCTGCTCGGAGCCCTAAACCGCCTAAACCCCTACGCTAGGAAACCACTAAACCTCAGATTCAGACCGCGGCACCATGAGCTGGCCAGCTCCGCCACGGTGCGCTTGCCCGATGCTTGGGAGGATTCCGCCTCCTCGTAGGGTTTCCGGCTTGGACTCTCGGAAGTCAGGTTTTAAGCTTAGGCTCAAGTTTCTGTGCTTTCTTTTGCCACTGGCCCTTTTCAAATCTTCCGTCGACATTCGGAATCCCTTCGAGGGTGCCTTCAGATCAGCTGTACACTTCTAGGGTTTTTTTTCCCTCTCGCATGTGCTGGAAATCAATGTCCGCTCGCGAGGTCTGACACAAGAAGGATACTTGAGATTGCAGCCATCAGCCTTCGTGATGCTACTGAGTGGTACTGGGGCATTTCGCCCATTCGTGATCGCCACTACTGCTTATGCAGTGGCTTTTATATGCAGTGGCTCTGTACGCATGCCAAAACAGCTCAACAGTTTTGCAAGTGCTACCAAAATGGTCCTCGCACTAATTTAGCCTCGCTCATTGGGAAACTTTCGTTCAGTCACTCATCATCTGCTTTTGTCATGTTCGCAAGTACTTTTGGGCCCTGGGCCTTTTTTTGTTTGGGAGCGAAGTCACCCTTCGACAGTCAGCAGCGACAGTCAGCAGCTTACCCACTGGCCAGTAGTCGTCGCTTCTTCGCTCCACGATATGTCTCAGCCATCATAACAGACAAGGTCAGTCCTCTCCTGGTTGGTGTCTCCATACATCGCTCACTCAAACCCGCATGTAATCCATGGAGTAGTTTAGGGTTTACTTCAAGGGCTTGACGCGAATCCGCCGAAATCCGCCGAACATCATGGGAAGCCAGGTGGTCATGAAGCGTTGATTTAACGACAATTAGTGTGCTGTGTCAAGCGTGCACAAGGCGACTGCAGTGCCGAGTTAGGGCCACCCCACCTTGCTCGGCTGCTTGTTCTGAATGCTCTGAAACGCCTCCACCGACATTCTTGCAAGCTCCTCCTGCCAAGAATGCAGTGCAGCTGCGTCGATAAGCAGCTGTAATTGAATGAGTGCATCGTAGCTAACCATGAGGTGCCAAAGACAGTTTTTTAGGACTCGCGCTCGAGCAAGTTGTGCTGCGATCAGAACTACCGACATGGATGCTGATCGCGATGATAGGTGGTGAAAGTGGCGATACCAACTCGTGATGATTGCGATGAAGTGGTGATGATAGCACTAGGTGACGCCGATGTTGGTCCCGATGCTGATGTGCTGCTGCTGTCGAGGGCTGCCACGGTTCCGGAAAACACAGTACCAGCCGCAAGATTCGGACTTTGACCCTGTTGATTCCTTCGAAAGCTATACCTGATGTGTATCGCAGCTATATAGGGCTAGGGAAACGTGATTGTGGACGGTTTTATTCTGAAGCACTGAATAACTTTGCGTATCTTTGTGTCAGATCGTCCTAAGGCAGGCTGGTTGCCCTTGGCACTGATGGAGCTCACACAGACTGACGGAGAACAACTTCCGGCACTCATGAACAGGTCGGCTGACAGAAGTAATGCCATCATGAGAAAAAAGCACTGCAAGCGTTCAATGGTCGGCCGGCAACTGCTCATTCATTGACCAGCTTCACTCACTGTCGCCACCTAGAGCTCAGAAGCCGCAACCCATATGGTTCAATGGGGATAACCTCGACCACAGCCAGAAATCACATCGCACTACCCGTTTCATGCAGCCAGCAAGAAACCAACAAGGCCCGAGCGACCTTCTCAAGGGTCCAAAAAAACCCTGTACCCTGCTCTGCCGCGGCCCACCTTCGTCGGTCGAAAGTTGCATGTTCGAACATGGCTTAGTCGGTCCTCAGCTTCTCAACAAGGTTTTGGCAACATGGTCGAC